GTTATCAATATGTACTGTTAACTCTGGAAATAGGATCATTCTTGAGATATATTTTTGGGGATATATCTCTTTTATTTATTTATTTTTTGGTTAATTAATAAAACTGACAGACAAAAATCCATGAAATCTGAAAGTAAAGAATTTGGTCTGCCAAATCTGAAAGTAAAGAATTTGGTCTGCCTGTCTATTTCACTACCAGGTAGTCTTTCTGTTTGTACCAGGAATATTCACTCAACATAGTACAGGTATATAATTGTTTTGAGGAGGGGTGGTGGGGTAGCCTAGTGGTGAAAGCATTCGCTCTTCATGCGCGTCGCCATATGATAATATGGCAGAGATATTGCCGATGTGACGAAGACCTGGGTTAGATTCCCCACATGGGTACAATGTATTTAGACCATTTCTGGTGTCCCCCACCATGATATTGCTGGAATATTGCTAAAAGCAATGTAAAACTAAACTCACTCACTCACTCACTCACTCACTCACTCACTCACTCACTCTGCCTGGTCACATTGTGAACCATAAGTATGTAATATGATCATATTCATCATAAGAAACTAATTTTCATGGTTTGAATAAAAAACATCGACATGAAAACAAATTAAGATCAATCATGTGTTAATTCCGTGCACATGTTTGCATAAAATGACAATGATGATTGAATTTCCTCTATCATTAGAGTTCAACACGACCAGTGACAGTGGCTGGTGCTGAATCTAACAGATTTGTTTCCTATTTTGTTCTGACACACCCATCTGTATTGTGTCAGGACAATTACATCCTTACTCTGCCAGCTTGCTGAATGGGCTGAAGCTCATTGGTCATGTGGACAATGTGGCCGACCTTGGATAAGAAGATCAATAAGACTAGGAGGTGCGATGCCACTGACATTAGACACATCATTGTCTATTCTGTTGGTTTGTTGTTTAATGCCACACTCAACAGTATTACAGCTGTATGGCATCAGTCTGTAAACATGTGACATCAGTCTGTCTGGCCCAGACAATCCAGTGATTGACATCATGAGCATTTGTCCATGACATGATGCCATGTATCAACCATCCTCTTCTGTAAGTACATTGCAATTAATTTGGGAACTGTATTGTTTTGAGGAAAGAATCATGTTTGGGTTTGATTAATTTTTGTAATTTGAAAGAATTACTAGTTATGGCTGACTATTTCACTGAATTACCTTTTTTAATTAATCAGAGCATCTCCATTTTATGGCCTCGGTTTATGATACTGACACAGGAACGATGTCAGCCACAATTGTTTCTTGACACTTCATCAATAATGAAATGCAACTTCTCATATGAGGAGCTAGTTTCACGGAACAAGTAATATCAGTTTACTTTATCTGAAGCCCTTTAAAATCTTTTATGAAATATCTTTGTTACACTAAAGGTTAGAGTTCAACAATGAGGCCATTTCCATTGTTGTGAATCTCAGTAAATGTTAACACAGTATTTGCACGATGTCGACCTGTTGATCCAAATTATTTCCAGGAAAGTCCCAGTGACCTATGATGCTTATTCCCCTGTTGTGTCCATTTTGTTGCCAGGAGCGTTAGAACACAGAATTCCATGTAGTGTTTTGCTAAGTAGTCATAGTAGCTTAGCCGAAGAACAAAATGGCTTCTGTTGGAAAAAGAGCACTATTGAACATGCTAATGCACTGTGTTCAATAACCAACAAGCGTAAGCTAAGCTGTTATGTAAAAGCTCTTATTGGGTTTGTTGGATTTACACAATCAAAGTTTTTATGAAATAATCATGACAGTTTTGGGAATAAACTGCAAAAATTAGGTGTGAATTGTAATTTCACAGCTGTTTAATTATTCTTTGAAACAATTATTGAACGTTTCTGTCAACAGCCATTTAAGTAATGATTAAATATTCATGTTGGTGTGATTCAGGATTGTACAGTTTGGCTGACTTTAATCTCTCTTTTTTTATTAATGACTTGGTTAACAAAATAGTGACCCAAATTGTGTATTGACGTCTACCCAAGGTATGCCGTAGATATTGACGTCTACCCAAGGTATGCCGTAGATATTGACATCTACCCAAGGTATGCCGTATGTATGCCACCCAAGATATGCTGATCGTGACGTATACCCAAGGTATGCCGTAGATATTGACGCCTCACCCAAGGTATGTTGGCGTGATACCGGTAGATATTGACGTCTACCCAAGGTATGCGTGATATTGACGCCTACCCAAGGTACAATGTATGCCGTAGATATTGACGTCTACCCAAGGTATGCCGTAGATATTGACGTCTACCCAAGGTATGCCGTAGATATTGACGTCTACCCAAGGTATGCCGTAGATATTGATGTATACCCAAGGTATGCCGTAGATATTGACGTATACCCAAGGTATGCCGTGGATATTGACGTCTACCCAAGGTATGCCGTAGATATTGACGTCTACCCAAGGTATGCCGTAGATATTGACGTATACCCAAGGTATGCCGTAGATATTGACGTATACCCAAGGTATGCCGTATATTGACGTCTACCCAAGGTATGCCGTAGATATTGACGTCTACCCAAGGTATGCCGTAGATATTGACGTCTACCCAAGGTATGCCGTAGATGTTGACGTCTACCCAAGGTATGCCGTAGATATTGACATATACCCAAGGTATGCCGTAGATATAGGGAGATGAATTCATGTAGCTGGGAGAGATGGGGATGCCTCCTCAGTAAACTATGTAATGAACACACTTATAACGAACGTCGTAACAAACTGTTTCTTGTCCCAGCCACTTGCTGTATATTTTAGTTGAATCAGTATAGCTACGGTTATAATGAACTATAGTTAGTGGCACCTTTTAGTTCGTTATAACCATTGTTTACTCTGTGTGGAGTCCAGCTGATGAAGATGCATTGAAGAAGATGAAGGATCATGTGAATGGTTCTTCTTCTTGTGACGAGGTTTTGTATTTTTAGCATTTCATTTTCATTTTGACATGTTTTCAATGCTTCATAGGGCATACTTACCAGGTATTGTACATATTCACATAAATGTCCAGTACTTGATGTCCTGTACAGTGTGTGACAGAAAATATACATTAGCACATTCTTGTTCCTTTGTAATAAAACATATGATTTGGTGAACACTTCATCCTCATCAGTATAAGGAAGACATCTACATGGAAGATTTTAAAAAAATATTCACACAGTGTCCCAGTTCAGGATAAGTAAAAATTCAGTGTTTTTTATATTCGAGAGCACCTAAAATAACAACAATGTTACTATGTGGCTATTCCTAAAGGACATAAATCTGATGGCTGTTTCATTGTTTATATTAAGACTCTTGGCATATTTGCAACTACTTAGTTATCACTGTAATAGTGGAGTCCATTGTTTGCTGGCCAGGAAACATGGTATTGATATTCTATGTGGTGCAAATTTGACTTGTATTAGGTATCCAGGTCTGTGGTCATTATGATAGAAACATCCCTTATTAACACTGCTGTTTGAACAGTAATTGTGTTTGTGACATATGTTTATGGAAATGACAGGAGAGGTGATAACAAGGTTTTGTTGGAATTCTGTGACCTTTGGTGCTAACTGAAGCTGTAAATGAAACAAGGAAGCATGACAATCTGTGTGGAGAGGAAGAAAAACCCAGGCTTGCTGTGACTGAGACAAGGAAGATGTGGGTATCTGTGTGTTGAGACACAGACAGGCTTGCTGTGAGTGAGACAAGGAAGGTGTAGGTATCTGTGTGTTGAGACACAAGCAGGCTTGCTGTGAGTGAGACAAGGAAGGTGTAGGTATCTGTGTGTTGAGACACAAGCAGGCTTGCTGTGAGTGAGACATGAAAGGTGTGGGTATCTGTGTGTTGAGACACAGACAGGCTTGCTGTGAGTGAGACAAGGAAGGTGTAGGTGTCTGTGTGTTGAGACACAAGCAGGCTTGCTGTGAGTGAGACAAGGAAGGTGTAGGTATCTGTGTGTTGAAACACAAGCAGGCTTGCTGTGAGTGAGACATGAAAGGTGTGGGTATCTGTGTGTTGAGACACAGACAGGCTTGCTGTGAGTGAGACAAGAAAGGTGTGGGTATCTGTGTGTTGAGACACAGACAGGCTTGCTGTGAGTGAGACAAGGAAGGTGTAGGTATCTGTGTGTTGAGACACAAGCAGGCTTGCTGTGACTGAGACAAGGAAGGTGTGGGTATCTGTGTGTTGAGACACAAGCAGGCTTGCTGTGAGTGAGACAAGGAAGGTGTAGGTGTCTGTGTGTTGAGACACAAGCAGGCTTGCTGTGAGTGAGACAGAAAGGTGTGGGTATCTGTGTGTTGAGACACAAGCAGGCTTGCTGTGAGTGAGACAAGAAAGGTGTGGGTATCTGTGTGTTGAGACACAAGCAGGCTTGCTGTGAGTGAGACAAGGAAGGTGTAGGTATCTGTGTGTTGAGACACAAGCAGGCTTGCTGTGAGTGAGACAAGGAAGGTGTGGGTATCTGTGTGTTGAGACACAAACAGGCTCTGTGTGTTGAGACACAGACAGGCTTGCTGTGAGTGAGACAAGGAAGGTGTGGGTATCTGTGTGTTGAGACACAGACAGGCTTGCTGTGAGTGAGACAAGGAAGGTGTGGGTATCTGTGTGTTGAGACACAAACAGGCTTGCTGTGAGTGAGACAAGGAAGGTGTGGGTATCTGTGTGTTGAGACACAAGTAGGCTTGCTGTGAGTGAGACAAGGAAGGTGTGGGTATCTGTGTGTTGAGACACAAGCAGGCTTGCTGTGAGTGAGACAAGGAAGGTGTGGGTATCTGTGTGTTGAGACACAAGTAGGCTTGCTGTGAGTGAGACAAGGAAGGTGTGGGTATCTGTGTGTTGAGACACAAGACAGGCTTGCTGTGACTGAGACAAGGAAGGTATGGGTATCTGTTGAGAAACAAGCAGGCTTGTTGTGAATGAGACAATGAGAATATGTTATCTGTCACACCAGAAGGCTCCTGACAGTGATTACATTTTCTGTCCACAGATTGGCTAGTGAGATGCTGCAGACGATCAACCCTTGCTGGATGCAGCAGATCTGGTTCTGTGGACAAGATGGCAGCAGCTGGTGTAGGGTGACCCTCGGAACATAGAAGCAGACATGTTGGCAGTGGGATAAACTACATGCATGTTGGACACACAAACTGGAAACAACAACATAAATAACAATGTATATATCTGCAGTTAGGTGATCCCTCAGTGTTTCATGAAAGTCGTCATGGACTGAGCCTTGTTTTCTTTCCAATATACCAATATGTGACATGTTGTCCTGCTTGGAATCATTTCAAGTTTTAATTCCTGGTAAATTGTGACTTGTTCTACAATAACTGACATTCAGCGTTAGGTGAACAGCATTTGGATGGAATCAGCAATGGATTCCCCTGGTCGAGATGATGGCTCTGCTCAGAGGATGTTGCCCAAGAATGAACTTCGAGGCTTCCTTAAAAGGAACAAGTCTAAGTTTTCTGGAAATGGATTTCCAAGTATTATTACTGAACATTATGAAGCAGAATTTTCCTCTGGGTCTACGCTGGCTCCCTCTGTAGACTCCAAAAACCTTCAGCAAGCATTGCAAGCTGCGGAAAACAAGCCTTACCCACCTATGTACGCAAGTCGCATGCATGGCAAGACCTCACTGCAGGCTCGTATCTACAACTTCCTGGAACGACCTACAGGATGGAAGTGTTTCATCTACCATTTCACAGTGTAAGTACATTATGTCATCTTTCAACTTGTGTGACTGGGGTGCAAGAGGGCCTTTCACATTAGATGTCACTCTTTGCTGTGCTACTCTAGTGAGAAGTGCAGAATGGCCTTGGTTTGAAGCCCTGAGTATAATCCAAGATTTGTCACCACTGTACCTGGTATCTCCCACTAAATCATTGCTTGAATATTGACCAAAGTGGGATAAGAATTACGATCAGATATTCACTCACTCACCCTTGAGAATTAGACCACCTCTATCAGAACCTTCATAGTTGAAAAATATTATGATAATGACATTGGTATTTAATCACTGCAAGCTTCAAAGCGAAAGAGTTCCCCGTGTTTTGAGATTAATAGATATGTCATTAAGCCAAATGATTGCACCGAGTGGGATACATCATTCTATATTGCCCTTGCATGGTGAAGCAATTACAAGATAGCCGTGGTCAGTGGGCTTCCCTGCCTAGCTGCGTGCTGTTTCATAACTATGGTGTGGAGACAGACACACCTGAACTGAGAACATTTCTAAATGGGTCCGCACATTCACAGCAGTGACATTAGTGTTTGTGTCACTTCATCGGCTCCGAGCCGGCTGTGGCTAGCGAGCTGAGTGGATTGGTTGCTGGCTTACTACCACTGTACCCATACCTGTGGGTCTCCTCAGAGTGGTAAAGACGAGCATCGATATGGCCAGTCCCCCCATGTAGGTTCATCATATACGTCCCATTCCTGGTGTCCCCTGCTGTTGCTGGCTTGTATATTGCTGAATTGAAGCTTGGAAACAATTTCCATTAAAATCAGAAATGGTCAGTTATATGACTAGCAAATGTCACAGTTCATCTCACATCTCACATGTTGTAAAGATGTGGTGAGGATTTGTTCATTGTCTCCCCCCCCCCAAGAATTCAGTGTGATGTTTTCTTAATATGGCTGACGAATCATTGAGTAGATTAATCCCTCACGTACGTCACAAGGAGGACAAGGAGGACATGGATGTGATGTATGTTTTACAGGTTCAGCTCTCAAAGTCTTAGTGACACATTATTTCCAAATGATGTATCAGTCACATACAATGTATTCCTCTGTATTTCCCAGTTTTGTCTTGAACCATATGTTCCATGTTGTGTCAGGTAAATAATTGACCTGCCTTTGCATGTGTTTATGATGGCAACCACCAGTGGGGTGGCACTCACCTTTTCTTGAACACCTGGTATTATCACTATGGTGCTTCATCAACACATGCTTATGATATAGACAGAATCAAACGTTTCATATGATCATGGAAAATGTTTTCTGTGTTTTATTTTAAAGTTAAATAAATATTGAACATCTGCTATGGAGGGAAATAATTACATGAAGTTTAGAAACAACTTAACCAAATATGCTAAAACTTTATACAGAATTTGTAACAGTATAATGGCTGACTATTTTACCTGGGATCTTTTCAACTACCTCAGCACCTATTGTTTGGTGGTTCTCCGTCAATGATCCATGGTAGTCCCCTGTAAAAAATGGTTTAGTTCTGTGTGAAATACGTTCCAGGCAAGGTACATATTGTGATACCCCAAATCCTTCCTGGGTGCCCCCATGACTAGTGACCCTTATCACATCACCTGTCTGGTGGGGGTCGTTTGATCCAGGTGTTCTTTGTCTGGTAATCAACAGGTAATATACATGGTTGAACGATGAAAAACTCAGATATTCCAAACCATTGCTTTAAGGGTTGAACTTGAAATATCAGATTAGTGCTGAGCACATCCTGATACAGTCATCCCTCGCAATAACGCTTTTTGTGATACTCGGGGGGTCATCCATGGACCCCAAGACCCGCGATGGCGATGACTGTAACTGGTTTTCCAGGGCTCAGTCATGTTTTCGTGATCTTGTCTTGTATATTCTGACATAAATTCATTCATCTGTAATTAGATATAACCAGGTCTAGTTATTTTAACTGATACTTAATTGGCTATCAAAGTTAGAAAAATCTGTCCAAACAACAATATGCGATATAATTATGCCATTTATCTCTTTGAGAAATGACCAGAAGCAACAGTATGTATGATTGGTTGATTTTATAGTCTAAATAACAAATTACATGATGGGTTGGACTGAATAACTTGTTGACTGGCTAAGCTTCCGATTGGTCAGTTACAATATCTGTTTGTGTTGGTCCATGATGATCGATCTTTGATCGGAAGTGATGTCGGTACATTGTGCTGGATTCATTATTGAAGAATGAAAATGCTTCCAGCAATAAGGAAGTTGTTGTACATGAAGAAGTGTAATGTTCTCATGGTGTTCCAACTAAGAAATGGTTATCAAAGACTGGACAACACTCATACACTCCTCTTCAGATTTCTTTAGAAAACTTGTAGCTTTAAACACCTCTGTATTTTTCATCAATGAAGTATTGAGGAGTATTGAGCCCAGTTCTTGCAGACAATTAGGCAGTAAACCTCAAAGGATTATCATTAGTGATTTGTTCCTTTGTTAAAGATTCATTAATACACTGGCTGCCTCCAGCTAGGTCTGTACTAGGTCCATGGCTTCAAAGGATTATTATAAACACTAACGGGACCAATAAGAAAGTGTTGAGGACTATTTGAAGTATCTAGGTATCCATATTTAGCTCATCTGGGATGTAAATGCATCTTCTCAAAATAGGAATATAGTTGAAAAACAAAAGAGCTATAGAACCCATCTAAAAGGGCAGAGATATGTAGTTATACCAAGGCATTCTGTCCATATATCTCTTCTTCCATCTCTTCCATCCACTCTCCTTCCATCTGTCTGTCCATCCATCTGTCCATCCTCTAAAGGATGGGTTTTTGTACAACCCATAATGTGAACAGTGCTGGATTATGTTCATGTTCTATACCAACAGGAGGAGTGTAAAGTGTCATTTCAATATTAGGATTTTACAGCTATTTTACATTTTTCTACTTTGGGTATTTTACTTAAACATTTGAAAACTACTGCATGGATTTTTTGAAACATGAAACAACAGTTTCCATACTAATGGAAGAGATACAGTGCAAAGCTTGAATGCATGGATTTTTTTAGAATTTTTATTTTTTCATGTTTGAATTATTTCTCAGATCAGGACATGCCACAGTCTGAATTTTTTTATCTCCTAATTAGGAGATGCTATCTCCTAATTAGGACTTACTATCTCCTAATTAGGACTTAGCTATCTCCTAATTAGGAGATAATATCTCCTAATTAGGAGATACTATCTCCTAATTAGGAGTTACTATCTCCTAATTAGGACTTAGCTATCTCCTAATTAGGACTTAGCTATCTCCTAATTAGGAGATACTATCTCCTAATTAGGAGTTACTTTCTCCTAATTAGGTGATACTATCTCCTAATTAGGAGTTACTATCTCCTAATTAGGTGATACTATCTCCTAATTAGGAGTTACTATCTCCTAATTAGGAGATAGCTAAGTCCTAATTAGGAGATAGTATCTCCTATATTAGGGAGATACTATCTCCTAATTAGGAGATACTATCTCCTAATTAGGAGATAGTTATCTCCTAATTAGGAGATAGTATCTCCTAATTAGGAGATAGTATCACCTAATTAGGAGATAGTAACTCCTAATTAGGAGATAGTATCTCCTAATTAGGAGATAGCTAAGTCCTAATTAGGAGATAGCTAAGTCTAAGGAGATAGTAATCTAATTCCTAGATAGTAATTAGGGAGATAGTATCACCTAATTAGGAGATAGTAACTCCTAATTAGGAGATAGTATCTCCTAATTAGGAGATAGCTAAGTCCTAATTAGGAGATAGCTAAGTCCTAATTAGGAGATAGTAACTCCTAATTAGGAGATAGTATCTCCTAATTAGGAGATAGTAACTCCTAATTAGGAGATATTATCTCCTAATTAGGAGATAGCTAAGTCCTAATTAGGAGATAGTAAGTCCTAATTAGGAGATAAAAAAATTCAGACTGTGGCACTAGGACGCTAACAGGATCGGGTGGTCAGGCTCGCTGACTTGGTTGACACATGTCATGGTATCCCAATAACGTAGATCGATGCTCATGTGTAGATTATTGGATTGTCTGGTCCAGACTCATACATATGTACAGACTGCCGCCATATCGCTTGAATATAGCCGAGTGCAACATTGTAGAGGTTTTTGTTTCCCTTGATGTGGTTTAGGTAGGCTAGTGGGTAAGGTATTTGATACTGAAATCCTTGGTTTGATTCCCACATGTGTGATGCAGATTTACGATCTCCCACTGAAACATTGCTTAAATATGGACCAAAGTGGGATAAGAATTACAATCAAATATTCACTCACTCACCCTTGAGAATTAGACCACCTCTGTCACTACCTTCATAGTAGAAAAAATATTATGATAATGACATTGGTATTTAATCACTGCAAGCTTCAAAGCGAAAGTATTCCCCCTGTGTTTTGAGATTAATAGAGATGTCATTAAGCCAAATGATTGCACCGAGTGGGATACATCATTCTATATTGCCCTTGCATGGTGAAGCAATTACAAGATAGCCGTGGTCAGTGGGCTTCCCTGCCTAGCTGCGTGCTGTTTCATAACTATGGTGTGGGGACAGACACACCTGAACTGAGAACATTTCTAAATGGGTCCGCACATTCACAGCAGTGACATTAGTGTTTGTGTCACTTCATCAGCTCCGAGCCGGCTGTGGCTAGCGAGCTGAGTGGACTTAATGATTGGTTGCTGTCTGTACGGTCAATGCTGGTGCTCCCAGTCCCATTATTTTGTAACATAAATGGTAAACACAGGATGCAAATGACCGGATTAAGTCTCAACCGAGCTGTGATCAATAGCTAGAGGCTGGGTTGTTGTGTTGTTGTTTAGGGTAGAACAAACAAATGTCCCCTTGGATGGATAAGGTCACGTATAATCCACCCCTTAAACTGACCCATGTACCCTCCCAGCCCCAACTCTCACCCCCTGATATTACCATATATTACCATAGATAAGCCGAATTTTGAGGACCA